AACAAGCACTAATAAGTGCCCTCAAACTCGTTTATTGTTACTGTGAATACTGCGAAATATATAAGAAAAGAGACTCATTTCTTCGTAAAGGCGAATTATTTATAAATATTTTTCTTATAGATAAATGTTAATCCGTGACCAACTGCTTTATGATTCCAAGTTTTAGATCATAAATCTTAACAGGTATACACAAACGATATTTCAATTTATACAGATTGTCGCTTTCAGTAATAGAGTAAATGGATTATTCTCATATTACTTGTACCGCCTCTTAGTTATCGGATTGTTTTCTTTTAATTGTAGCGCTTATTTGGTTTTTGTCATTTATCTCAAACTTGATGATACAATTAATATAGGACAGTGAAGAATAATAGATTAATGGACTAAGGTCGGGATAATAATTAACTTAACATTTTTAACATATATCACGCTTTGAAAATATAACAATAGTATATTTTTTAGCAGTTTTATGCTTCATAGGTGAAGTAAACAGCAGAAATGAGCATAAGATGCTAGTTTCCATCGATCAATATCGTCACATGACTTTTTTGAGCTGTACGTCCATGTTATTAGCTTGAGGCTTACGTTCGAAGTTCAAATACTTACTTTACAAAGTCAAACTTACACTTAGTTAAACGTAAATTAATTTGTTGCTGGCATAGCTGCTAGTACATTTACCTCGTTATAACCATTTTCACGTTTGTTTATTACGCATCTTGAAACAGTGTACAATACAATAAATTTTCTAATTACACAATAAATAATATTAATAAATACGTTGACGATGTCTGAAACTGAAACTCCAGTGTATGGGCCTTTCTTTGGAGTAATGGGATCTGCAGCAGCAATGGTATTTAGCGGTGAGTCTGTCACAATATTACTTGTATTTAGTAGTGATAATAGAATGCAGTTTGTCACAGATTAATTGCAAAAATTAAAGGTTCTAAAAGTAAAACTAAAAGATCTAGCATTAATTTTTTGTATGATGTCAAAATTATTAGTACTGTTAATGTTATTGTTAGGTATAAAATAAATATAATCTAGTCTATGCTGTACTACTACTACTATTTATCCGATTACTAACTATACCATATTCAGAAAAACCGATAAACCCTAACTAACGGACTAAGATAAACTTTGCAAGTCCCTAGTATAGTAGTACTACTAGTAGAAGTAATACTTCGAGTTTGAACAGGTGAGTATACTTCTACTTCTAAGTTTATCCAATTATTAGGTTTTTCTAAATGTGATTTACAAAAGTTTCTTGACCCTTGTATTTCTTTAATATCAGTACCAATACTAATATTATCATGTACCTCTGATAGAATGTTAAGAAACAATAATTGCTTCATAACTGCAGTAACAGTGAGATTTTAGCTTCATATTTAGTTTATTTTGCATAATTAGAAGCAGTAACATTGTAATTAATTACACTGCTAAATTAACATTTGGACAATTACACATAATACATTGTTTTTGCTAGTTACTGAAATTGTAAAATAAACATCTAGTGTCTGCTTTATGATACAAGTTCCTTTAAAACTTTACCATTTTATAGTTTCACCGAATGACACACACATAGGGATGGTGTAGGCAAAAATTACATATATATGAAAATTAGAATACATTTATTTCATATGTGGCTCTTGTACACAATGTAAATTTTGTAATAGTTGTAGTAATAGAAGTAATTTGAGTGTAATATCTCAGTACAGCAATGAACAAATTTCAAAATAGAATTTTTTTTAAGCATTCAATAGACATATCATTATGTAAATATTATCCTTGTAATTCGAGCACTTTCTAAAGGTGGTTCTTTCTTCTTCAGTTTGCCCCTGAAGAAGAAAGGACCACCTTTGAAAGTGCTCGGGTTATATGGTTTTATTCATTTCTATCAATACTTCTTGAACCTACGTGTTTTTCTAACATCATAAATATTATCCTGATACTTTAAGAAGATACACTATACATTTTTGTAGAGCCAGTGAAATTTTCAAGAATTAAATTCCAAGGAATCTGGTTTTTAAATATAATAAATGTAGAGTTATGCATTGTGGGGTATCATAACTTTAATGGGAATAACCTTTATAGAATTATGGAAGAAAAAATCTTGTTCAACAATCTCTCAAGCTATATATGTTTTCAATGTGTTGCCATTTCATGTTGACTGTTGTTAAGATAGTTTATGTATAATAAATGCAGAGTAATGCATTGTGGGGTATCATAACTTTAATGGGAATAACCTTTATAGAATTATGGAAGAAAAGGATCTTGTTCAACAATCTCTCAAGCCATATATGTTTTCAATGTGTTGCCATTTCATGTTGACTGTTGTTAAGATAGTTTATGTATAATAAATGCCATAATTCTATAAAGGTTATTCCCATTAAAGTTATGATACCCCACAATGCATTACTCTGGAAGAAAAGGATCTTGTTCAACAATCTCTCAAGCCATATAAGAAATGTATTGTTGCTAGTGCCAAAGCAAACATGATTTTAGATTGTATTTACAGAAATACTGAATACCAGTAAAGAGTTTATAATTTCATTGGATAGGTCACTGGTTAGGCTACACTTGGAATATAGTATTTAGTCTTGGATGACTTACCTAGGTAGGACATTGAATTGTTGGGTTCAAAGGAGTGCCATTGGGATGATTCCTGGGATAAAATGTCATATAAAGACAGATTAAGACCTCTAAAATTGTTTTCTCTTGAAAATAGAACAGGTAGAGGCTATCTGATTGAGGTGTTTAAAAATGTAAAGAGAATTGATAGTGTTGATGATCATCTTTCTCATGCATAATGGTGAGAATTCAGTGTTTGAGGTAAGTGATTTCCAGCTGTCAGAGACAACCAAAATTATTGCCAGACAACTATTATGTTGTCTGTAGGACAACTGCAACATGGCTTAGTCCCATGGCAGTCTAGGCATATAGCTCATATTGGCACATTCAGAGTACTATGTAAATTATGAATTGTATGTCTATGCATACCATGTTCTGATTTCCACAGGGACATGATAATTAAGACTATACATATTGTTTTCCAATAAGAGTGTCCATTATATCTTGCAAACCTGTCACAACTTACGAACAATAACAGATTGTCATTTGAAAGATTTTGATAATGCCAAGTTTGTTTCCATTTTTTTGATACATTATACTGTTTTCAATGTGTTGCCATTTCACATTGACTGTTGTTAAGATAGTCCAATTTCTGATGCATTATCTATATTTACTCATGAAGTTTCTCAATAATATCACAATTTTCTATCAACTAAGGAGCTTTCTAGTGTGACACTTGACAACATAACACAATGATTGTAATAGTTATTAGTCAGCTAACTTGTTCATTCAAGCATGGATAACTATAGATTTACTCCAGACAACCATAATTGGTTCAAAAGTTGTCCATTGGACAACCCAGTTTGCAAGATTTATTTCAAACACTGGAATGGTAGGATTAGGAGGACATATATAAATTTTGACTGAGTAGGAGTCATTTCCAGCTCAAACAGCTTTATTTTTCTAACAGGGAATAGGTTGTTTTTAGATGTGGTGGATGCAGTTAATTTAAGGGAGTCTTAAGTGAAGGCTTGATAAATATTTAAATGATAAGGCTTACTTTGAATTTATGTATAATGAAGCATGTTATATTTTCTTCACTATTTAGATTTCTATTTCTTTTTTTATTTTGTTCAATATCACAACTATTTTTTTCATGTGCAATGCAAATCCATCTGTGTTTTTGTCATCCACTTCCTTTGCTTAATGTGAGAATGAAACACACTGTTCATAAAACCATGAAAGATAGTGTATACTTCTCATGATGACGACGCATGAAAAAGTTATTTAAGTGTGCATGCTGTAACACATTTCATGGTTCATGATTTGTTGAATATATTGTATTATTCTCTTGCAAAATATACACATCTAGTTTTTTCAAGCTTAAGAACACCAGCTTAACTCCCACCTCACTTATCTTCTTGTAAGTTGAATTACTTGTCCTTGTAGTAGCCTGTTTTTACATTCTTATTGTGATTACTGTATTGAATGAATTGAAAGTAATTACACAGTTTATTGCAAATCATGTCTTACTGAAATATTAAAAAAAGTTAACTTATTGTACTTTCTCATCTTTAATTTCAAAAGTCTTTAATTTTGTGTTTCATACATGAATATAGAAAAACACATTACTTACATTATCTCGCTGGAAAAAGTGGCTATTTGCCACTAGTCTTTACTTTCTGTAATATTAGTAAGCAAATTTTCCACTAATTCCAGATACATCACCTTTGTAACTAATCTCTTGTGAGGCACCTTAAAAAAAATCAAAGAAATATTACAGTATATTAAATGTTATCATATTATATTGTATTATTGTGAAGGAATATTAAAAGATATAAGTTGAGTGCCTAGTTTTTTCAACAGTGTACCAGAAGTAGTATATAAATGTGTGAATATTCTTTAACTTTTGAAATGTCTGGATGGGTGCACCTTAAATTTTGGGGTAAAATTGCACCACTGAATTAAAATAATTATAGAGAAGTCTACTACCCATTGAAAATATTCAATTTATTTAATTTTATACATAAAAATGTAAAAACCAAACTCATTAGGTGCTCGTAAATTTCCTGAATTTCTCATAGTCTCCTAGGAGGAAATTCGAGAAAATTTTGAGCAAAGTAGTGTTAATTTGACCTTTCATCTTGAATACAAGTGTAGTTTTTATTGACTTTTAGCCAACAACTGTTTCTCAACATGGTATAATGTAAATTGCCTATATCACAGCTTCAATAAATCATAAGCTAGTGATCTTACTGTGTAATGAAAGCTCTACTTTTCATAGAGATCATAACAAAGTGGTATAAGCTTAGCTTGATGTTATATTGCTAAGAGAAAAGACAACGTCTGCCACATTTACAATAATGATTTTGTTTTTAAAAGCTTGCTTAGACAATTTATATTTCATTTGATTTATGATGGATTATGATAGGAAAAGAAATGTTTTTTTCGTGGAACAAGATGAAGTAGTCATGTCAGTTTGCACTCAACTATATCAAGTTTTGTTTCCCTGACAATAATACCATTTTAGGCCTTAGCAGCCTAAATAACTGCTTGAATGGGCAAAGAATATCTCTTAAGTTTTAAACTCATTTATACATTTATTGTTTAGATTTTATTTGTTACATAGATTAAATGAGATCTTCTGATTAATAATTTTTAAAAAGTTTATTTACTTATAATTTTGGTATAGTGAAACTCTTTTTTTATTGTATGCTAGTAAACAGTTAAACTATATTTGGTGTTTTTGAATTGAAACAAAGATAAAATTTACAGTTTTATAAAATAAAAACTTTATCAGAAAGTTTTACAAAAATGTAGGAAGACAAAAAAAATCAGTAATTAAAGTCTACAACAAAGGTAAGCATTTTAAATTGTTAAAAAAATATAATTCAATGAGATCTTTCTGTATTTGCTGAAGCTACATAATCTATAAAAAAATTCCCTAAAGTTTCAAATGATTTCATCCAGTTTTTGCTTTTTTTTATAATTCAGTAAAATAAACCATCCAACAGGTGTGGTGATTGCATGGTATAGTTAAGTGATACAAGTGTTTTTGTGTCTTTATTTTTAGTTATTTCAATGGTACTACTTAATTGTAATTTTTTTTCAATAACCAGCATCATGGTTTTTTTTCTATATTTCACCATAAGATATATTACTTGTGTTTTAAGAGGGGAGGAGATAAGTCTTTTATTTATTGATACATATTTAATATAGGCCTAAGCATGTTTCTGGTAAGTTTAGCCAAGGGTTACTACAAATAATAAATGTAGGGAGATGTACTGAAAGCGTTTGTCTGTTTTTCAGCTCTAGGGGCAGCTTATGGAACAGCTAAATCTGGCACAGGAATTGCTGCAATGTCCGTGATGAGGCCTGAGTTGATCATGAAGTCTATTATTCCTGTAGTTATGGCAGGTATTATTGCTATTTATGGACTGGTTGTTGCAGTTTTGATAGCCAATAACATAAAATCTCCTTCGGATGGTTACAGACTATACACGTAAGTATACAATGTTAGGAAAGTTAGCATTAGGCTTTTCACTATTCCTATAACAAAAAGCATTCTGTACTATTGTATTAGTCAAGTTAACAATAAGTTGTTCAATATTCCTATAACAAAAAGCACATTCTACAATTATGTTAAGCAAGTCATATGAGGGTAAATTAAGATTTCATTAAGACTTTTGAAATTGTTTCTCTTGAAAAAAGAAAAGTTAAAGGATTCTGGTTAAGTTGTTTAAGATTGTTAATGGGGATTGGTAGTGTTGATGCAACATCTTTTGTTTTTTTTTGCTTTTTTTGTAATTAATGGCAAGAATGGTAGGACTAGGGGACATATGAAATTTGGCAGGGTAGGAGTCACCTTGAGCTAAGACAGTTTTACTTTTCTAAGAAGCTGGTTGGCCTTTGGAATGAGTTGTCTTCTGACTTGATGGATTCAGTAAATGTAAGGGAGTTTAAGGGGAAGGCTTGATAAATATTTTAATGGTAAGGGCTGCTTTGAGTGTTTTATTTTAAAGTTTAGTTTAGTGGATGGGATATCCTAGATGGATCAACAGGCCACTTTTTGTACTTATATTTTAGGTATGTTAACAATAGGCTATTCTTTGTTGTCATCCAAAAAACATTTTGTAAAATTATTAACAAGAACAATAGACCATGAAGTGTTTTACTACATCTTTACTTTGTATCATTTGAAAGTTATTATACTTCAAAGTATGTGCTACCTATTATAACCACCTGTACTTGAAATTCAGTCCCTTGAGGTAGATTCCTGTATGTGGTGAGGGAATCTCCCAGGGAAGGTTCTGTATCCTCCTATAATTTTACCTCTTCTGGGATCTGAATATCCACCCTCATGTTTGCCATCCGTGGGGAACCGTGAAGAGGATCCTGGTGGTTGAGTGGGGTCTGGGGCATTGTAACACACCACTTTGACCTTTAATTCCTGTAGATGGGTGGCCTCTTGGCTCTCCCAGGGTAAACTGGCTGGTCCTGTTGGGCTAGGGTCAACTGAGTACCAGTGTTGGGCATTCTCAGTGGGTGTTGTGGACATTGTCTGATGCTGGTGTTTGGATATAGTGCTCACGAAGCCCTGGAGTTGCAAAAGGATCCTTGTTTGGCATTGTAGGACTCCATGGTGGGTTGGGTCAGTGGGCACAGAATCATTTTAATTTTTTTTATGGATCCCCCAAATCCAAATAAAAATAAAACATTAAAAAAACATTTAATAGGTAAGCAACCATGCATACATGAAAACTGTTACACAGTCACCACCCAAGTCAGCTCCTGTACCTCGACTTTGAATTCTTCATTCTTTGTCTCACAAATCTTTAGGGCAAATGTCTCTCTTTTTCATTCAGACCTCCTCCTGAATTCGAAGACCAGTGGGGATATACCTCTTGAAGTTACTTCCCATGCTACTTTAAGTTCTTCCTGAGGAGTCATCATTGAGAGGGAGTTGCAGAACATCCCCGAGTCAGAGATCGTCACTGGCTTCTCCAGCCAAGGAGTTTCTGCAGTGAGATGCATCTCTACTCATATAGAAAGAATTATGCTGCCTACAAATGTTCTGATTTTGATGTTTACATCACCATGTCCATCTGCCTCTGTCAGGGCAGATTATCTTAACTGTAAAGTATGGCCATATATTCCTAACCCTTTCAGATGTTTCCAGTGTCAGCGATTTGGACATTGAAAGACACTCTTGTTATGGTTCTTTGTGCTTGTTGTGGCAGCAAAGGCCATTATGCCTATGTTGTGTCAACTGGACCCTCATTGCATTAAATAGGATGGTTCCCATTCATCTTATTTTTGTTCTTGCCCTAACTGGGTGTAGGAAAAAAAAGAGGTATAACACTTATAAACTGTCAATAACATTTCTTATCCAGAGGCTCAGAAGTTGTTGTCCCCTGCTCCATCTCAGACATATTCTGCTGCTCTCCACTTCACTGCTACAATGGGGTGCACACAGATCTTTCCATGCCTCCATCAGAATCTTTCTCACACCATGGTTGCACGAGTTGACAAGTCCATGTCTACTCCTGTCTTTGTCCCCACCATCGCTGCCAGGACCATTATTTGGTGATGCCCTCAGTCTCTGGAGTCTCCATCCTCTTACAGAAATCTGCCCAATCAACCCAGGGTAGGTTTCAAGTAGGCCTACAGATCTCCTTCTACTGAAGAAAAATGGCTTGGTCTCAAACAGAAGGGTTCTCCTCCCAGTCACATTGATACAGTGGAATTTTCTAGGTTTTCATTCCAATTTGGATGATATTAAGGCCTTGATCGATTCCTATCATCCCGTGTGTCTCTCCTTGCAGGAAACATTCCTGAAAGCTGCTGTGACTGTCACCTTTCAGCAGTTTTCTTTATACAGGAATGACAGGTTGTGTGATGGATGAGTCCATGAAGGTGTGGCACAGCTGGTTGACCAGCATGTTCCCACCTTGTCTGTGTCACTCGATACACCCTTGGAAGCCTTAGCCATCTGTATCTCCTTGGGATGTACCAACACTGTTTGTTCTCTTTACCTGTCTCCTGGTGAGACTTATGATCAATCAGACCTTGATGTTCTCATAGAACAATTGCTGTCCCTCTTTTTAATCGTAGAAGATTTTAATGGGCATAAACCCCTCTGAGGTGGTACTGATATTGATTGGGAGGGTTCATTTTATGGAGCATTTGCTCCCAGATCACAACCTTTTTCTCTTCAATACTGGTGCTTTTACCTATTTTCATGCATCTAGTCAGTCTTTTACTGCTATTGATCCATCCATCTGATTCCCTTGTTGACAGTGATCTAGAGGGAAGTGATCATTTTTCCATCATTTTGAGAGAGTTTGGCTATGGTCGATGCCTCCCAATCTGAGTGCCACAGTGGAAGTTGGAGCAGGCTGTCTGACTCTCTTTCACCTCTCTCTTGGAACTCAATCTGCTGTTGTTAGTCTTCCATCTATTAACAACTGTGTGGAGGCAGTAACTGACTGTATCATTCAAGCAGTTGTTCTTTCTATCCCCAAAACATAGACACATTTCCCATGGTATCCTTGTCCATGGTGGTCTCCTGCCTGCCACCAGGCATGGAAGGCTCTGAAATGGGCCTGGAATACCTTTTGCAAATATGCCACTCTTTCCAATCACATTGCTTTCCAGCAGGCTCATGCTCGGCTGGTCAGACATCAAAGCCAAAAGGAATCTTGGATTAAGTTCACAACCACCGTATCTTCTACCACCAGCTCCAAAGTCATCTGGGACAAGATTTGGAAAGTCAATGGGAAGTATGCTTCCCATCCTCTTTCGATCTTGCTATCCAATGACCAGAAAGTTGTTGATGTCTAGAATATCACTGATACTCTCGGGAGTGCTTTTCTTATCTCGGGCAGAGCAATCGCCTCTTCCTTTTCATGCTAATCATCTCTATGACTATAATTGCCCTTTTACACTGGTGGAACTTAAGGTTGCTCTTCATCAGTCTGTCAGATGATATTCAGTATGAGATGCTGCACCGTATCTCTCTAGCCTTTCTTGCTCTTCTTCTGGTTGTTTTTAACTGGATCTGGCAGGAGAACATTTTTCCTGATCCTTGGCACAAGGCTATTGTCCTACTTTTTTCTAAACCTGGTATACATCCCAAGTTTCTTTTTAATCGTTGTCCAGTTGCTCTGACTAGCTGTTTCTGTAAGGTTTTGGAGAGGATGGTTAATGCTTGTCCTGTTTGGTTCCTTGAATGAAACAACCTTCTGTTGCCCACTCAATGTGGTTTGTGTCAACAGTGCTCCACCGTGGACCACCTCATTCAACTTGAAACCTTGATCAGGGAAGCCTTCCTCAGGAGAGAACATCTTGTATCCATTTTCTTTTTTATCTTGAGAAGGCTTATGACACTGCATGAAGGTATGGCATTTTGCAGGACCTCCATTCTTATGGGTTGCGTGGCCATTTACTCGTAACTTTTTACTTGACTGGTGATTTCAAGACCATGTGGGTTCTACCCTTTCCCGTTCTTTCAGTATTAAGATCAACGCTATCACTAAACAACTTCCTCGTACTGTTGCAAATAGCCTCTATGTCGATGACTTCCACATTTCTTGTTGGTTGTCAATCATGAGGTTTATTGAATGGTAGCTTCACACTACCCTCACTCGCTTGTTGAAGTGGGCCACAGCAAATGGTTTTACCTTCTTTTTCTCTAAAACCGTTTGCATTCATTTTTGCCATTAGCGGGGTTAACAACATGATCCTGAGCTCCGTCTTGGTAGTGGTGTTCTTCCCGAGGTTCCTGAGGCAAAGTTCTTGGGGGCTTATCTTTGACCATAAGCTTACTTTCATTTCTCACATCAAGCAACTATGCGTTAAGTGTCCTCTCTTCTACCTCTTGTGGAGGTGATTGATTTTCTATGTTGAAGATCTATTGTTCCTTCATACATTCTAAGCTGGTCTCTTGTTTATGGTTCTGCCAGGCCCTCTGCCATGAAAAAGCTTGACCCTGTCCACCATCTGGGGCTTCAGCTCTGAATGGAGGCTTTCTGCACTTCACTCCACTTCACCTCTGCCATTTGCAACTTTCTTTGCATTATGCTACTAAGCTTCAATCCTTACCTTCCTTCTTCAGTGGGCTGTGCTCTTTCAGAATAGATGGTCTTTTTGGCCTTTGTATCCAGCTGGCTGAATTGGGTCTGTCATTGGATGACATTGCTGTCTCCAATGATCAGCCTATCCCACCATAGCTTCTTACCATCCCAACCCATGACCTTTCCTTGAATCATCTGAGGAAGGGAGATACTCCCGATTGGAAGTACTGTGTTCTTTTTGCTAAACATCTTTCGAACCATTCTTCTGTTACTGTTTTCACGGATGGTTTGTCATTAGATGATTCGGTGGGCTCTGCCATGGTTTGTTGTGGCTCAGTGGTTGCTCACAGGATTCCCTTTACAGTTTCTCTGTTCACTGTCAAGTTGTATGTCATTTCTCTTGCCTTGGATCACGTAGAATCTAAGTAGTACACTGACTGTACTATTTACACTGACTCTCTCAGTTGTCTACTGGTCCTGGAATCGCTTAACATTAGTTCTCCCCCTGTTCTCGTAGATATTCAAAAATGACTGGCCCATTTTTCTCTATCTTTCATTTCTATCCACTTTTTCTTGTTACATGTATATGTCGGTATTCGCAGGAACAAGCTTGTGGACACTGCAGCTAAGTTCATCTGCTCTGGTGCAGTCACAGCTGTGCCTGTCTAATATATGGACTATGGTCCTATGTTTAAGGCTCAGCTTTGTGCCAGTTGGCAGTTGATTTGGAGTGAGCATCATCATAACAACCTTTTCCAGATCAAACCTTCTGTAGTTCTTTGGCCATCTTCTTTCCGTATGGATCGAAAGAAGGAAGTTGTCTTGGCTAGTCTATGCATTGGTCACAGTTTTTAACTCATTATTTTCTTTTATTTGGGACTGATCCACCAATGTGTGGCCTTTGTGACACTCAAGTCTGAATAGCCCATGTTTTACTGTCATTAAGACTGTGAGTGGCAGCACCATTTTAAACATTTACTTTCTACAGATTTACCCCTGATGTTGGACTGTGTCATTGGTGATGCTGACACCATCCATCTTGATTATGTTTTTCAATTTTTATGGGCCATTGGCCTTTTTTATTCTATTTAAGTTTTTACCCATCTTGGGGCATTGTTTGTTTTTTAGCTTGTTTTCTTTTTAGCTTTTGTAGTATTTTACTTTATTATTTTTTACTAGTCGTTTGGCACAAGTAACTCTGTAGCTTTGCGCCAGTATTCCCCAAACAACCAAGCAACCAACCTTGAGATTCAGAATTCTAGTATCAATTAGTTATAAAATCAGATTATCTTAAAAATATTTTGCTCAAATTTGAAGTTTTTACCTTTTCATTAGTTTAGACTGACACCCAATATAAATAGAATGAAAAGTGAATGCAAACTAAAATAGCCAGTTTGATGAAGCTGTTACTCACTAATATAAGCAAATCTGTTTGTGTGTGTGTGTGTGCATGTGTATATATATATATATATATACACACACACACACACAC